GGCTGCAGTGTCTCTCTGCGTCAGCCTTCCACTTCCCAGAATTGTGAATAATTCTTTATACTGAGTTTGGAAAGGATTGATAGAGGCTCTGTATATATGCATATGTAATTTTACCTCTTAGAGTTGACCATGGATAATTCGGTAAATATTTGCCCAGAACTTTTCTTATGAAGTAGCAATATATTATATAAACACATATTTTAGAATTATAATAATATTTTACATTATTTATTATGCTTTTTCAGTTTAGGAAGGAAACATCAGTAGATATCCATAATACATATATTTTAAAATTTTATGTATTATATCTGTGTGTGTGTGTGTGTATGTGTGTATGTGTGTATGAGTGAATGTGCATGTGAGAGTGACCAGGGAGGCTGGAAGAGATTGTCACCCCGTTTGGGTTGGAGTTATAGGCATTAAGAGCTGCCCAGTGTTGGGCTGGAGAGATGGCTCAGAGGTTAAGAACACTGACTGTTCTTGTGGAGGTCCTGAGTTCAATTCCCAACAACCACATGGTGGCTCTCAATCATCTGTAATGAGACCTGGTGCTCTCTTCTGGCCTGCAGGCAGGACACTGTATACATAATAAATAAATCTAAAAAAAAATTAAAAACAAACAAAAAAAAAAAAGAGCTGCCCAGTGTCAGTGCTGGGCAGAGCTGGGACTCAAACCCAGGTCCTCTGGAAGAGCAGCATGTGCTCTTAACTGCTGAGCCAGCCTCCCCATGCTTTCAATAGAGAAATCTTTACTTCAAATTCTAGAATCTGAAGGAAGTTATTTCAAGTCTGCCCCTGACCTACATTCTATATAGCTTTATCATTCTGAATAATTCATGTCAATAGACTCGTGCCTCTTTTGTGTCTGGCTTCTTTGGGCTTCTTCTTCAGATTTATCATATTATGGCATGTTTAGGCCTTTGTATGATTTACTACAGGTAGTTACCCATTCACCAGTCGCTAGGAATTAATGTTGGTTCTCCCTTTGGCTATTACGAGTAATGCTGCTATAAACATTGCATGTATGCATTTGTGCTGACATACATTTCTGTTCATCTGTCCTGGCAGGTTCACAGGAGCAGCATTGCTGCATCATGTAGCAAATTTATGCTAATTTTTTTTTTTTTTTTTTTTTAAGAAACCACAAATTCAGTGATTGGATCACTTTACATTCATGACAACAGTATTTGAAGGCTTTAATTTCAGGCTTGCCTTGCACTCATAGAGATCCACCTGGCTCTCTCTGTCTCTCTAGGGCTGGGATTAAAGGCGTGCACTACCATCGCCCAGATGTCTTTTCTGCTCTTTACCCATTAAAAAAAATTTTTTTATTATTGAACTTTAAGAATTCTTTGTATATGTTGGATCCAAGTCCTTTATCAAATGAAATAAGTATTTTGTCCTGTTAAATGCTTGACTTTTCATTTTGCTTGCTGGTTTCTTCTATGATGTGAGGGTGCTGGTTATGCTGGGGATGAATGCAGGGCCTTGCCTGTGCTAGGCTAGTGCACTGCTCCTGAGGCACGTTCCCCCTCATTCTCTTTGAGTGTACTGTGACGTGCAAATGTTCTTAACCTCTAAGTTCTATTTCTCAGTTCTTTATCTGTGTGGATTATGCTTTTCATTTTATATCACAAAAATCTAACGAACTTAGGGTCTTGAATACTTTTCATCTATACTTCTTTCAGGAAGTTTTACAATCTTACTTTTTATGTTTGTTTCACTCGTTACTTTCTGTGTACCGTGTGGTTAGGGTCTGAATTTATTGTTTTGCACATGGATAGCCAGTTGCTTCAGAACATTTGTTGTGAATACTGTTTTTCCTCATTGAAGTGTCTTTGCACTGCTGTTGAAGATGGCTTGACTTTAATATAGGCTTTTCAAGAGTCTAAATTCTGATCGTTCATCACTTAATTTTTGTGGTGTTAGGCTCTGCACACACAGGTATGCAAAGTGGTCAAGCACATGCTAAATTTTCTTTTTTAAACACGTGTCTGTTCTTAATTAAATACTACCTCATCTTGATTATTGAAATGTCAATTTCTTTTTTTTTTTTTTGGTTTTTCGAGACAGGGTTTCTCTGTGTAGCTTTGCGCCTTTCCTGGAACTCACTTGGTAGCCCAGGCTGGCCTCGAACTCACAGAGATCCGCCTGGCTCTGCCTCCCGAGTGCTGGGATTAAAGGCGTGCGCCACCACCGCCCGGCTGAAATGTCAATTTCTTATGGCTGACAAATACTCGAGAGAGAAGTTTGAGAAAGAGGAGGTTTATTTGAACTTGGTGGTTCGGGGAGTGAAGTCCCTGGTTAGCTGCCTCCACATAGCATCACCACGGCAAGAGTGTGTGCTGCAAGAGTGTGTGCTGCAAGAGTGTGTGCTGCAAGAGTGTGTGCTGCAAGGGTGTGTGCGGCAAGGGTGTGTGCTGCAGGAGTGTGTGCTGCAGGAGTGTGTGCTCCAAGAGTGTGTGCTGCAAGAGTGTGTGCTGCAAGAGTGTGTGCTGCAAGGGTGTGTGCTGCAAGGGTGTGTGCTGCAAGGGTGTGTGCTGCAGGAGTGTGTGCTGCAAGAGTGTGTGCTCCAAGAGTGTGTGCTGCAAGAGTGTGTGCTGCAAGAGTGTGTGCTACAAGGGTGTGTGCTGCAAGAGTGTGTGCGGCAAGAGTGTGTGCTGCAAGAGTGTGTGCTGCAAGAGTGTGTGCTGCAAGAGTGTGTGCTGCAGGAGTGTGTGCTGCAAGGGTGTGTGCTGCAGGAGTGTGTGCTGCAAGGGTGTGTGCTGCAAGAGTGTGTGCTGCAAGGGTGTGTGCTGCAAGGGTGTGTGCTGCAAGGGTGTGTGCTGCAAGAGGAGTGTGTGCTGCGAGAGGAGTGTGTGCTGCGAGAGGAGTGTGTGCTGCGAGAGGAGTGTGTGCTGCGAGAGTGTGTGCTGCAAGAGTGTGTGCTGCAAGAGTGTGTGCTGCGAGAGTGTGTGCTGCAAGGGTGTGTGCTGCAAGAGTGTGTGCTGCAAGGGTGTGTGCTGCAAGAGTGTGTGCTGCAAGAGTGTGTGCTGCAGGAGTGTGTGCTGCAAGGGTGTGTGCTGCAAGGGTGTGTGCTACAAGAGTGTGTGCTGCAAGAGTGTGTGCTGCGGGCTGCTCACCTTGTGGAGGCTGGAATCCATCCGAGAGGGGAAGAGACCAGGGAGTAAGCAGGGACAGTATGTTCTTCAAAGACATTCCCCAGGTGTCCCACCTCCTCTGGGAGGCCCCACTGCATAAGGCTTCTGCCACTTCCCCAAAGAGTGCCACCAGCTGAGGGTCAAGTCTTTATTCAACACAGGAGGCTGGGGGAGACTTTTCCATTCAGCCCGTAATACATACCTTTGTAGTAAGTTTGGAAAACAGGAAGTGAAGTCCTCTTACGTGTTCATCAAGACTGTGTTGTCTGTTTTGAATCCTTTGCCTTTCCATATACATTTTAGGATCACCTTGTCAATTTTTACAAAAGGGTCTTCTGGGATTTGATAAAAGATTGTGTTGCATCTGTAATTAGAATTACCATTTTAATAATATTGAATTTTCTAAATATAAATAGGATTGTGGGATTCTTTTCATTGATTTACGTCTTTAACTTCAGTAACTTTTTATTTTTATTTTATTTTTTTTTATGGTAAAGATGTGGGGCACCTGGGGAATGTCTTTGAAGACATACTGCCCCTGCTCAAAATAAAAAGTAAAAAGAGGGCTTGGCTATAGGTTGGTGGTAAAGTGCTTGCATAATCATAATTCAGTTTCCAGTCATGCCAGCTCCTTTCCTCTTTTTCCACATGTGCTAATATAGTCTTGGTTAAATTTGTTATTCATGTTTATATTGGTAGAATCATGACAGCTTTCAGTTGAGTTAGCAGTATGGGGTATAATCCACTGTGAGGCCAAGCAGCAGCAGTGGCCTGCAGTTCATGCTCTCTATCAAGCTGGACATGAAGATTGTCTTAGTTACTTTTCTGTTGCAGTGATAAAACATCATGACCAAAGCATCTTTGGGTGGAAGGGTGCATTTTAGCTTACAGTTCTCAAGCCCCACTCCATCGCTATGGGAAGTGAGGGTGTGAATGGAAGGCAGCCTCTTGAGGCAGGAACCGAAGCAGAAGGCATGGAGGAATGGCACTCACTGGCTTGCTCCTCCCGGCTTGCCCAGCCTGCTTTCTTAGACTGTTCAGGACCACCTGCCTGGGGGTGGCACTACCCACAGTGGGCTGGACCCTCCCACAGCAATCATGAGTCAAGAAAATGCCCTCCAGGTTTGCTTACAGGCCTGATGGAGACATTTTCTGAGCCGGGTTCCCCAAGGGTCCCAGAGAACTCTGACTTGTGTCAGGTTGCTAAGAAGTCACCAAGCACAAAGTGAACAACAGTACCCTCTAGAGTCTTGTGCTTTAAGCCGTGACGTTTGGCATGTTATTGCTTTGCTCACTGCTTGCTTTGAGTTGTTAGGTAAGTTATCTACCTGCTTGTCTATTGCTGGGACTTCTTTTCTCCTTGTGCTCTCTACCTGGGGGCTCTTTCCTGTGGTTGTAATTATTACTGTTATTTTTCAGGAGAGTATAGTTTGCTATTTTAAGGCATGAATGTGTATTCTGTTATTTTTCTTTTTGTAATGTGTGTTACTTTTATAGTGATTGAAATATATTAAAAATAAAAGAGGTCTCTCTCTTCCCAAAGTACCCAGCATTTGATGTGATGTGTTGGTTTAGATACAAAGCTTGAAAAATGTAGTGTATTTTCAGTAGACAGTATTTTATTACTAGTAAAATACCACTTTGCATTTTTACCCAAGTTTTGCCGTGGACACATTTTACTACATTGTGAATTTATTATCCTAGGATCTTATCCTATGCTGTTATTCTAATATTCTGTTTTAAAAATAAGCTATGAGAAATGCTGTTAGAATATTTTTATTGCATGAGAATTATATTTTATTATGACCTTGTGTTGTAGGTTGAAAAATGCCTCATTGGATGTAAAGCAAATGCTTAAAAATGAAACCGAGTCAGACTTCACTGCCGATCTCAGGAAGAAACTCCACCGGGCTAAGAAGGAGAAACTAGAAATGACAACGAAGCACAACGCAGAGGTAGACTTTCTCTTCCTCCCAAGTCGTGTCAGAAGTTGGATTGCAGCCAGGTGTGGTGGCATAGGCCTTTAGTCCCAGCATTTGGGAGGCAGAGGCAGGTGCATTTCTGAGTTTGAGGCCAGCCTGGTCTACAGAGCAAGACCCAGGACGGCCAGGGCTACACAGGGAAACCCTGTCTTGAACCCTCCGGCAGTGCCTCCCCCCAAAGTTGGGTTTCAGTTTTTGGTTTCATTTCTTATTAGAAGCTACATTTAACTTTTCTCACTGTGTCATTCTAGAGCTTCAAAGGAAATTACAATAAAGAAAATACTTTCATACCGCAGAATTGTATAGGGATAGTCAAGTTATGTCAACTTGACACAAGCTAGAGTTATCTGAAAGTGAGAAAATACCTTCATAAGATGCAGCTGTACGGTATTGTCTTAATTAGTGATTGATGAGGGAGGGCCCATCCCGTTGTGGGTGGTGCCATCCCTGTGCTGGGTGGGGGTCCAGGGTTCTATAAGAAAGCAGGCTGAACAAGCCATGGGGACCAAGCCAGTAAGCAGCACCCCTTCACGGCCTCTGCATCAGCTCCTGCTTCCAGGTTCCTGCTCTCTTTGAGTTCCTGTCCTGACTTCCTTCAGTGATGACCTGTGATCTGAAAGTGCCCGTCAAATAAGTCCTTTCCTCCTCAACTTGCTTTTGGGGCATGGTGTGTCATCACAGCAATAGTAACCCTGATTAGAGACACCTGTGGTACCAGGGACTAAATTCAGGTGACTCAGGTATGGCAGCAGGCACCTTGACTGGTTGAGCCGTCCTGACAGCCAGATGTATTTTAATCAACAGGCTTTACATGGCCAAATGTGTTATTTGATGGATGTGATTGATGACTACAGATTTATAAAGTAGAAAAAGACTGTCTTGAGAGAGCTCGTTTTGTAAGAGAGCTTCCTCAGAATCAGTCCTTCTGCGGCAGCTGCCCAAGGGGTGCTGCTTACTGAGATCTCCGTGTGTATTATTGTGCAAGGCTTAAACCATACACATTCTTGAAATCATAATGTAGATTCCTTTAGGGTATGAATCATGGAACAGTCTTCTTTCTTAAATAAGGGCATTGTGCCGGGCGGTGGTGGCACACGCCTTTAATCCCAGCACCCAGATGATCTCTGTGAGTTCGAGGCCAGCCTGGGCTACCAAGTGAGTTCCAGGAAAGGTGCAAAGCTACACAGAGAAGCCCTGTCTCGAAAAAACAAAAACAACAACAACAAAAAGGACATTGTGTATAGAATTTTAATACTATAATTCAGAAATCATCTTTGTTTTATTATGACATCTTATTGGTGTGTATTTCATAGGTACATGTATTTATTTAGAGTAGTTTTCTTTCCCTTCTAAGAGAATTCATGAATTATGTGTATATGTGTGTTCTTTTTCTATTCTTACTCTTCTTCATGTCTGTATTAAGTCTTGTTCTCTTTCTGTGTGTGTATGTGGTGTGGGAATGCATCCTAGCTAATGCCAGGTAATTGCTCTGCTAGTGAGCTGCACTGTCAGGTTTTTTAAATTTTAATTTTTTTAAAGCACAGACCTTTACTTACTTTTTTGAATTAAATATTTAGCATTTTAATATTTTTTAATTGAAAATTTTTTTCATACAGTATTTTCTGATCACTTCCCCTCCCGAACTCCTTCCAGACCCTCCTCTCCTCCTCTCCTCCTCTCTTCTCCTCCTCTCCTCCTCTCCTCCTCCTCACCTAACTCCACTCCCTTCTTTTTTTCTCTCTTTGAAAACCAGACACACATTACTTTTACTTTCCTTCAAGCTATCATAAAACTTTGTTTTTATTTCTTTTACAAAATTTAGCGGTGGGAGTGCACGCCTTCAATCCCAGCACTTGGGAAGCAGAGGCAGATGGATCTCTGAGTTTAAGGCCAGCCTGGTCTACAAAGTAAGTTCCAGGACAGCCAGTGCTATACAGAGAAACCCTTTTGAAAAAAACAAAACGAAACAAAACAAGCAATCAAACAAACAACCCCCCCAAAACAAAACAAACAAACAAAAAATCCCCAAACTCAAGTTTAGTCTCTATGCTTCTCTGTAGCACTTAGGCTCTTGAACTTAGGGCTCTGTGACATTTGTTCTCTTTTATTTTACTCACCACATAGCAACTATTAAATGTTATTTAATATATTAATTATTTACAAATGATAAGTTATATAACCATTGACTATATCACAATTTTAGAGTGAGACAGGACTTTATAGGTGTCACATTCTAGCTTTCTGAGCTATTTCTGTCACAGTATTTAATGGAATGTCACAATTAGATAGCCCTTCATTAGAATCTCCGTAATATTGCTACTTTTATTATTTATGCTGCCACTGATATTTTAATTAAGGAAAACAACACAGTGTTCACTAAGTTGTATTTTGTTTCTTTTAAACCTTTTTTCCCCCTATTTTGTATGTGTATATGAGTGTCTGTCATGTGTAGGTATCCTCAGAGGCTAGAAGAGAGCTGGGTTCCTGGAACTGGAGTTCCAGGTGGTCGTGAGCTGCTCCTCCCCGCGATGCTGGGGCCCTCTGGAGGGGCAGCCAGCACTCAACACTGATGAGCCTCCTCCCCAGCCCATTTTCTCCTGGGGTACATTGAGGAGATAAAAGTAGAGGACTACAGGAATATTTAAGTGTTCATTATGCGTCATGCTTTTTTTTCTAGGCATGGTTTTGTGATTGAAATGTGCTTTTTTGTTGTTGTTTCTTTAAAAAGGATTTTCCTCTAAAGGAGTCTATAAAGCACTTAGTGATTATTGTCTGGTAAGGCAGCGATTCCTTCCTAGTGTTCGAGAAAATGTCAGTTATGAATGCTGATAAACACAGAGCGAGGTTTTGCTAAGAAATGTAAATGCTTGAGTACGCAGTCTCATTGTCTTGGAGACATGTTTTCGTGCTGGTTCATGAGCTCAGGAATCTGTTTTAGCTGTCAAGCTTCGAGAGCCAGATTGCCAGGCTGCGATCTGAGGTGGAGAAGGGGGAAGCGCTGCGACAGCGACTGGAGTATGACCTGGCTGTCGCTAGGAAGGAGGCTGGTCTGGGAAGACGGGCGGCTGAGGAGAGACTGGCCGAGGCGCAGAGGACTCAGGAGAAACTCTATGGTAAGGCCGCCCCTCCTCTTCAGTTAGGGCCAAGCTTTGTTCTGCATCCTTGCTTGCTGTTGCATGTCTACAGTGGATCTCACGGAGGTTTCACTCACAGGACTAGTCTGTGTGTTTGTAAAATGTTTCCACATCGGGGATTTAGCCCAGGGCTCCCTCCGTGCACAGCAGGCAAACACTCTGTCACTGAGCTGGGTCTTCAGTCCTACTTTAATTTTTTTGAGACATTTTTGGGGTGGGGGAAGGGTGTCATGTATCCCAGGATGGCTCCAATTTGCTGTGTAGCTGAAGATGACCTTGAACTGGGTTCTTTCTTTCTTCACCACCTAAGTGCTGAGGTTACAGACATGTTCCACTGCTCCTGATTTATGCAGTGCTGGGAACTGACTGAACACATGGCTCTGTAAGTCCTGCTCATGTACTCTACCAGCTGAACTATTTAATCAGTTAATGTTTTTATGTTGTTGCATGTATGAAAAAAAAAGAGTACAGAATTCTGCTAATCAGGGTTTTAGAATAAAATCACAAAGGAGGTGTGTGCTTGTGTGTGTGTGTGTGTGTGTGTGTGTTTTCTAGGTACACTCTAGGCCCCTTCATAACATATAATTTGAGCCAGAATTTCTAGCCTGACTGTTCCAGAAACACTGCAGGTGATTTGTTGATTACATAGGTTTATGTGTTGCATTAGATTATGTACCTCAAAAAGAAAAAGGCTCTGAATTTAACACCCCAAATCCTCTGTTATGTAGGATTTAGTTATAAAGTATTATTTAAGTATAAATAAATTCACTTAGATTACCATATAAGTCAAAGCAAGCATCCAGATCATGTAATAGAAAAGTACCCGAAGTCCTTTCTTTTATCTTGTTAATTACTATCCTAGTTTTTGACAGTGTGAATTATATTTTCCTTTTTTTAAAAGTTAAAATATTTTTATGTGTTTGGGAATTTTGCTTGTATATTTGTCTCAGTAGCACACGTGCCTAGTGCTTGAGGAGGCCAGAAGAGGGCATCAGATCCCCTGGAACTGGAGTTGTGAGCTGCCCTTTGGGTGCTGGGAATCAAACCCACCCAGGTCCTTTGTAAGAGCAGCCTCCAGTGCTCTTAACAGCTGGGTCATCTCTCCAGCCCCAGTTTTCATCTTTTCTCTTTCTTTCTTTTTGTCTGTCTGTATGTCTGTCTTCTTTCCTTCCTTTTTTTTTTACTTTATGGGGATTGAATAATTTAGCATGCATTCTTTTGTGTCTGGCTTCTTTTCTTTAACATTATTGTTTTTGCCAGAGATTCGTATTAATGTGTAATCTTGTTATTGATATTTAAAGTATGGTAGTGTAGATATTACACCTACAGTTATCCATTTTCTGCTGGTGGTTTACTACTGAGACTCCTGTTGTTAGCCAGGCACAGTGGCACATGCCCATAATTGCAGCTAATATGTGCAGTTAAAAGAATGAATCTAGCCGGGTGTGGTGGCGCACGCCTTTAATCCCAGCACTCGGGAGGCAGAG